CCTCTTCGGGCTCTCTTGGGGGCTTGTCGGCAGCCCCGGAGGGCCTCTTGGAAGGCATCGGTGACAAAAAAAGGGGTCGTAATGTTTGGTCCCTCCCCCTTCTGAGACCATCGAAATCGCCTCTTGGGGCCTTTTTGTGGCGCTCTTGGGCCGCTCTTGGGTGCCTTGGGACCGTCAGGGGGTCCTTGGGCATCTCTTGGGCAATCTTGGGGCCAACGGCGCGCTGGAAGCGACAAGGCGAGAAATTTTTAGGTTTTTTGAACATGGTGGTTTCTAGGGGTAGTCCTGGGGGGGCTCCGGTGGCACTTGGGATCTTTTTGTTGACCCCGTCAGGCCTTTTGGATGTATGCTGCGGGCTATCTTGAACCATCATCTGTTACCTGGGCCATCTTGAAATCATCTTGGATCATCGAAGCCGTTTTGGAGCCATGTTGATGCTCTTTTGGGGAATCTTTGTGCTTTTTGTATATATCTTGGGGGTCCTCTTGGGACCCTCTTGGGCGTTCCTTGGGGGCCCTGGGAGGGCCTCTTGGGGCCATCTTGGAGGCCGTCAATCAAAACTGGTAGGGTCCTAGGTTTTGGGTGGCCCCCTGGAGCCACCAAAATCGCCAACATGACCCAAAACATGCCGATCCCACTTTGGATGCGCAAGCTTGACACCCTTCCACAGGAAAACACAAGGAGTGGGGGAAGGCAGGTGAACTTTCTGGAAAGGGCTTCTGAAAGAGGGAAGGAAAATATCGCTTGACCACCTCAGGCCAAAATGCTGGGGGGATTTCTGCGCTGGAAGAAGCTTCTTGGGCTGTTTTGGCTTCAACTGGGGCCGTCTCAAATCCCCTGGGGGCTTATTGAACCGTCTTGGGGGCCTCTCGGGGGCCTTTTGGGTTGTCTCGGTGTGATCTGGAACCCTTCTCGGCCGTCCTGGAAGTCCTGAAGCTCCAGAGCGCAAGGTCTCCGAAATCCTTCGGACATCGGAAACACTCATCACAATTATAAGACGCAGTAGCACGAACTAGTCCTAATTTGTCTCCTACGTGAGAAAATCTCAGACGGCCGCAAGACTGCTCCAAGTGCTCCCGAGGCCAGCCGATGAACATTCAAGGGCCCCAAATCGTGTCAAGCCTTCTCGCATTTTCGCTCCCGATGGGCCTCTGGGCGTGGAAAATGGTCCCAACATAGCCGCAAGAAGAATCCAACAAAGCCCTGAGACGGCACCCCAGAAATGGTCCAAAATGCATTCTTGCGGCTTCCGACGGGAGGGGGGTGGGCTGGAATTGAGGGTCGTCTTTTGGGAGCCCTGTGGTCCAGGATCGCCCCAACAAGGTGCCCTGTGCCTCCCCCAGGCGCCCCCGCCAAAACCATTACTCCAAGAGGGTCCCAGGAGGGCCCCGAGACAGGCCTAAGAGAACGCCAAGAGGGCAACACAAAAACCCCAAGAATCCTCCAAAAAGGCCTGCTCCTCGTCCAGTATCCGTCTCTCCTCGACGTCGTCGTCCTCCCTCTGCCTCCATCTCCTCCTGGTCCTCTTCTCCCTCCTTCTTTTCCTCACTGCCATCTTCCCCCACTCTTTCAACCTCTTCATCAACACAACTCTCTGGGGCATCATTTCTGGATGGCCTGGTGGGGATACACAAAGCATAACGGATCTTTTCGTGTGTGCTTGAAAGATTTGCAACTGTTGCCATTTTGGGCTTCTTACGCCCCGAAATGGTGTAAGAAAGCGCCACCACGGCCCAGGAGGCCACAAGAGGGTTCAATTAGCTCCCGAACAAAAAACCATCTAGACTCTACGACACGGAACCCCAGAGGAACGGCATTCAGAGGGGTCTGCGGTGCGGCGTAAGCCATACACCAATCTACATGTTGTGCTTCCTGCGTATACGCGGCACGACATACAATCAAATCGAACACCTGTAAACCAACGTCGTGTTCCACGCGAACGATAACTTCCGGATCTGGAAATACGGACGCTCATGCAATGGTACACGATCGTCAAACCTATTCCAAACGCGTGCGTCAACTCCGGCCGCCATTCTTTTCCCGTTTCGGCGCTTCCTTTTTTTGAATTTCTTGGTCATGCGGTGTTGGGCAACATTTCGTCGGATCTATCTGATTCTATTCGCTCCGTCTCTTCCGTGCACGTTTCCCTCATCCTCCCTCCCCTCCTTCTCTCCCCCTCCTCTTCAATGCTATTATATTTCTTCCCCCGCCCTCTCTCCCTCTTCCTATCCCATTGGACCTGGACATGGGATGGGAAGGACAAAGGGAATATCAAGAGGAGGAGCGGAGAAGAAGGAGCCGGAATGTAAACATAAATGACGAAGAGACGGAGAGGTTGGATACCCTGGGAGGAGGTAGGATCGAACACCCAGGAGGGCAGAGCACTGGAAGAGTCTATTGGAGGGGTGATGTTCACCACGATGGCGATGACGACGGCGATCATAATAACGACGATGGTGATGATGACGCTGATCATGACGAGTACGAACACAATGATGGTGATACCGACGTTTGATGTGATGGTTGTGAAGATGATACGGCAGATGGCGAGGTGATGGAGGTGGGCGAAGCCGAGAAAGATAGGGGTACGGAAAGAGGCGGAGGAAGATGACGGGGGCTGCACATCGGTGACAGTAGTTGTGGACCTGAAGAATCTGAGAAGACTCTTGCTAACCCTTGTGCCTCTTTGAAGGGCGTGACGCCGTCTTGGAGTGAGTGGCCGAACAAAAATATAATGACAATGAGCGCAAACAAAAGTAGATGAATCGTACACTTCGTAGTTCACAGTGGGTTTTGAGCCCCGACGCGACTTCACATGTGAAAACAGATGTTCAACTTGGCATCCCAAATCATCCTATGATTTTTCACTGATCTTTTATTTGGCAATATGCTTCACGAAATCAGGTGTTTCTATTTAGATTTGCAGTGGTTGTTTGCTGTGTTTTTTTTTGGGGGGGGGGGTTCCCACTGGAATCCGGTTGGGCAACATGTGCCGGCGGTGGCCGCGCAATTTCGAGAGACCCTAGCAACGCACACGCCACACCATTCAAATAAGAACGCAAGGCCCCGTGAAATCTGTCATTGAAAAAGCACTTTCTTACTCAAAACATATGGGTTCCTGATCTGGGTGACCCAACAAGTGCGTTTTCACATGTTAACTTGTGAACTGGAGCTGCGCGAACAAAAAATCCTCATAACCGCGCGAGGTTTCGTAGTGTAGGTAGCAGACAACCTTCTGTTTTCGCATTTGTCGCGAACGTTTCCATGACACAAATACAAAACAAGAGCGGCAACGAGAGAATAACGAAACACACATGTAACCACTTTCCTGTGGCTTCCAACATGCCTTCGGGTGTGCTTGTCGCCGCTGTTGTTGCTTTATCCCCTCGTCGTCCTCGTCCTCCTCCTCTTCTTCTTCTTCTGCTTCTTTTTTTTTTTGTTGAATCTTTTCGCGCCATTTCCTCCCACTTCTTCTCTTTCCGCTCTTCTTCCCATTCCTTCTTCGGCGCTTTCCACCTCAAGCCAAAAATGCGGCGAAATGTACACGAGATGCTTGCTTTCAATGCGCTTCTGGCCTCCCAAAGTGAACCGTGGAAGCCTCTTCGGGTCCTGGGGAAGGCCTGAACAAAGACTTATTCTGGAGCCGTCTGTGCCCATCAGGGCGCACGCCAAGTGACTCCAACCACGCATATTCCTTCATGGAGGTCGGATATTTTCTTTCCATCGGACCTCTGCAGCGCGGTTATCTTCACCAGTGCTAGAGTTGTGTGCGCAAGGGCGCCCGCGCGCCGCACCTCTGGCGGACGAGGCCCAACTAGAACGGTCGTCCCGTGGGTGGACATGCCGTTCTTGCGGGATCGTTTCTGCATTCTGTCTGTTTTCTTTATTCTTCTCTTCTCATCGTGCTCGATCGTGTATGCTTTGTCGTAAGCCCACATGTTGTTCAAAAACACGTGCGAGTCCGTGCGACCGTATTGTCTTTCCACTGGCGCTAGCGAAGAGCGAACATGTGATCCCGCCTGCATGCGTGCGCCTTCGACGGTCACGGTTCTAGAGCTGCCACCGCGCTGCGCCAGGCTTGCTGTGTGCATGGGTTTTGTTTCAATCCTGCCCCGCTTCTTGCGAGACAAGGGTTGCGCCCTACCCGCGGGCACATCGAGGCCGACATGCGCCCGATTCATGCTCCAAGTCCGTTTGTCTTCGGACCCGTACGCGAAACTTGTCGCATGCATGACATGGCGCGTGGGGCGTTCCGTGGGCCCTCCCTCGGGGACCCGCGCTGCCCCCCCCCCCGACAACGCGGTGGCGGATACGCGCGCCCTCGCAGCGGGATGCACTTTTGCGCACCCGCATTTGCCGCAAACATGTGTCCTCCCAGTTCAGAAACTGCTGAGGCATATTCATCGTGATTGGGGCCATGCCGTCTCTGCGTTTAGACACTTTGATTCACTGGTGTGTTCTGGAGTGTGAACTTACATAGTCAACATCTGGAACGTTGTAGGGATATTCATCGTAACTGCAACTGTACGGCCTTTTTGTTGAAAAACCCATGCGTTCTCGCCGAGAAGAATAATGCGCTCCGGTCGGAAGATATACCCGATTAGAAGGTTGCCGTCGCCATCGGATGTAACAATGCGAAACGGCAGTGCGCAACCGCGCCACGAGAATCCGGGAAAGGTGTTGGGAAAAATATCCACTTTGCGCAAACAATGAAGCATGAATGAATGTAAAATGAGCGTGGCAAAACTCAACGAACGTTTCGCCACGCTACCGTGATATCAAGGCTCTCAAACAGTTCCAGTTACTACGCGCAACATTCCCTCAGCCACTTTCTCAGCTGCGAGGGGGGAGGAACTCTCATGAGGTGTGCTCAGGCTCAGTTGTCTGGGCATAAACATACCGAAGGAGTGTGCTTGAACCTCAGGTTTTGGCGACAATCACCTGATGAGTGAGAAGTGCCGTCGGTGCGGAAGCAAAAGGAATCACAAGGGGGTCGCCGCCTGCTTTTGCTCGAAACAGGCCAATTTCTGGTCGTACCGCCGCGCCTCCGTCTCCTCGGCCTGACGATGGGGTCGCGACAGAAGAGATGCATAACGATAATGTCAAGGACGATCAGCACGAGAAGGATGAGGTGGAGAAGGCGTGGGCTGGATGACGATAACAATGATGAAGGGGAAGGAGCAGGAGAGTCTAACATCGAATCGACAAGTCGGATCGGCGATCGATGCGAAGCGGATCGACGTAATTCGGCAGCCAAGTCGGGAGACATCGAATCGGCGAAAATCGGCAGGCTAGAAAGGCTTCCATTGAGAAGCCAGAGTCCAAATTGAAATCCGAGGTCGAATCGCGTCGGAATCGGAATCGATGGAAATCGAATTGAATCGAATAGGAGGAGTCAGAATGATCCCTGATAAATAAAATGAAGACGATGATGAGGAGACGAGGAGCGAAGGGGGTTGGGAGGCAGGGAAAGGAGAGGAGAGTCATGTCAGGAGTGGGCACGGAGGAGTGAGCTTGCATGTCGGCGGCGAGCCTAAGGGGGAAATGAGAAGGGGCGGGCCTTCTCAGAAGGCTTTGAAGTTCCCCGGCCTTCTGAAAAGTGTAGCCTTCTCCGAAGACATAGGAAACCTCTTAGAAGACCCGGGGCTTCTGAGAAGTCCCGTCGCCTTCTGAGAAGGTTTTCTCCTTCTCACTTCCCCCCCTCGCTCGCCGCCGAATATGATTTACCCTGTATTGCTGACTGCTATTCTCCTCATCTGGGATCAACACAGGAGCAGCTATCCAACAACAAGGGAATAGGAGGATGCGGAGGACAAGAGATGGACACTAATGTGAAAAACAAGATCAACTAAACCGTGGGATCCAGTCGCCTGAATTCTGTGTCCGGGCGATCGGTGTGGACGCCGGGACGTCACTCCAAGCTGAACAGGGGATATTCCCAGGCAGCAACCTTGACGGAGCGCCATCGTATAATAGATGAGGAGTGGCAACGATAAGTATAGGAGTGGTAAGAACGTGGAGGAGCTTCTATAGTGTCCAGGTATCAGTTGCGATATCGTTCAAAGGATTGTGCGCGTCACAAGATCGATAACAATATTTTGCCAATGGGCAATCCACCGGCCGTGTAAAGGCTAGACTGCACTGAAAGGAAATATGCTCGGCGCTGAGCCGAGAGCTGCATTTTGAAAGCCAGCCCGTCTTCCATCCTTTGCTGGGCGCTTGTTCGAATCATATGCGTGTCGATAAGGCGATGACAACGTTTTGGGAACAGACAACATTTTGGGAACAGAACGGGAACACCGCTTGGACAAGGAGCCGCCCTCGAGCCGAAGTTCAATGGGTTTCAAGCGGCACTTCAGTTCTGGAAAGATACTGTCCTCCATCCCTGTAGCTTTCGCAGCCGCTTCGGCTCTTGGTCGTCAAACCCGCGGACGGTTCAAGCGAGAACCCCATGTTGAGACGGAGCCGCCCCCCATCTGTGTGGCTGTTGGCTATACCCGAGGCGAGCGTGTGCGGCGCTGAGACGAGTGCCACACTTCGAACACCACCCGTCCTCACCTCTGCAAATGCTGCATGTCTGGTAGGTCGAGTGTGCGCGATACTGGCTAGAGAGCTTCATTTTGAAGATTCTTCGCGCTTCGCGTATCCCCACCAGCCCATCCAGAAGCCCTGCCCATGAGAGCTGGCAGGAAAAGGACGAAACACCTAGGGAAACAAAGTGAACAACCAGGGTGAACCGAGAGATCTCTGGAAACAAAGGGGTGGCCTTGGAAGGTCTCTTCGGGCCATCAGGGTGGGCCGCGTGGGGGCGAGGGGAAAAGGAGGAGGATGAGGAGGAGGAGGACGCGGATGAGGACGAGGACGGGGAGGACGAGGACTAGGATGATGACGACGCGGACGAGGACCCATGGAACCATCCAAAGGTATTCTTGTGGCTGCTGCTGCTGCTGCTGCTGCTGCTGCTGCTGCTGCTGCTGCTGCTGCTGCTGCTGCTCTCTGGGAGTTTTTGGGGCCCTCTTGGAGCCCTCTTGGGGCCATCTTGGGGGCAATCGATTGCAAGATGGGGGGGTCCCCAACTCAGCTCCCCCCTCAGGAGTCCGCAAACCGCTTCTTGGGCTCTCTTGGGGCGCTCTTGGGCGCTCTTGGAGCGGTCTTGGGGCCGTCTGGAACATCTTGTGAGCCATCTTGAGCCAGCTTGGGCTATCTGAGCCATCTTGGAGGTCATGTTGGGTTCTCTGAGGCCGCTCGGGGGCCTCTCGGGGCCGTCTTGGGGTCCAGGAGGGGCTGTCTTGGGGCTCCCTTGGGAGCCCTGGGGCGCCTCTCGGGGCCATCTTGTAGGCCATCGATCAAAAGGGGGCGTCCCTTATCTGGCTCCCCCCCCTAGAGCCATCAAAACCGCCCATTGGGGCGCTCTTGGGTCCCTCTTGAAGCGATCTTGGGCTGTCTTGGGGCCGTCTTGTGGGCCTCTTGGGCCCCTTCTTGGAGTTCTCTTGGGCCTTCTTGGGGGCACTTTGAGGCTTCAAAAGCGCATCGGAAGCGAAAAGGCGAGGGGGCCAACATCATTAATTACCTAACAGCTTGTTCTGATAGGTTTCTAGTGGGGTCAAAAGAGAGCAGCAGATGACTCCACAGGGGGGTCTGGGCGGGTGCCGGACAGGGTGCCGCAGAAGTCGTTTTAAGCCAACAGTCACACACTTCGTGCTCTTCGACCTCCCAGAACTCCATTCCCGGGCCACATTCTGAATGCCCGGAGCCAACTGTAGGCCACTTCGTGCTCTTCGACTTCCCAGAACTCCATTCCCGGGCCACATTTTGAATGCCCGGAGCCAACTGTAGGCCACTTCGTGCTCTTCGAGTTCCCAGAACTCCATTCCCGGGCCACATTTTGGATGCCCGGAGCCAACTGTAGGCCACTTCGTGGTCTTCGAGTTCCCAGAACTCCATTCCCGGGCCAGATTTTGGATGCCCGGAGCCAACTGTAGGCCACTTCGTGGTCTTCGAGTTCCCAGAACTCCATTCCCGGGCCAGATTTTGGATGCCCGGAGCAACTGTAGGCCACTTCGTGGTCTTCGAGTTCCCAGAATCCATTCCTGGGCATGATTTTGAATGCCCGGAGCCAACTGTAGGCCACTTCGTGTTCTTCGATTTCCCAGAACTCCATTCCCGGGCCACATTTTGAATGCTGAGGCAGGCTGAGGCTGAGGCTGAGGCAGGCTGATGCTGAGGCAGGCTGAGGCTGAGGCTGAGGCTGATGCAGGCTGAGGCTGAGGCAGGCTGAGGCTGAGGCCGAGGCTGAAGGCAGACTGAGGCTGAGGCTGAAGCAGGCTGAGGCTGAGGCTGAGGCAGGCTGAGGCTGAGGCAGGCTGAGGCTGAGGCTGAGGCAGGCTGAGGCTGAGGCTGTGTCTGTGACTGCCGTTGCCACTGCGACTGTCATCGCGACTGCGACTACGACTGCGAGAACAGCACAATTCTACAACTGGATTCTCATATGAATCTTAAGGGGAATGCTTTCATATATGCTTCTACACATCGCTGTTAGGTTGCTTTGCCGGGATAATTTTCAAAAAAAATAGTTGGAGGATTTTGTTTTTTTGTTTTCGGGTGGGGGGGTCCTTACGGGTCTCCAGAAGCAGTTGGATCCGTCTTGTGGCCATCTTGGGGCCTCTTGGAGGCATGCTGTTAACTACATTGGGCCACGCTGGGCTATCTTGAACCATCTTGGAGCATCGGAGGCCCTCTTGGAAGCATCTTGGGAGCTCCAGCCCCCCGCGGACCCCCCCGTCCAGGTCCAGGGGAGGGGGTCGGGAGAAGGGTCAAGACGCCCTCCCCGCCCGCAAGCCGTCTCGCTCACCCCCACCCGCCCTCCCAACACATACGCAGCACCCGAGCCTGGCCCGAGCCTCATCATACGCAGCAGTCGTCTTTGGATGGGCAGCTACTGGGGGCGAGTCCGCCGCCGCCGCCGCCTCCGCCGCCGCCGCCCGCCGCCGCCGCGCCGCCGCCGCCGCTGCCGCTGTCCGCTGCCGCCGCCGCCACCGCGCCGTCCGCCGCCGCCGCCGCCGCCGTCGCCGCGCCGCCGCCTCGCTGCCGAATCGCCGCCGCCGCAGCCGCTGCCGCCGCAACCACTGCCGCCGCCGCTGCCGCCGCCGCCGTCGCCGCCACCCGCCGCCGCCGCCGCCGCCGCCGCCGCCGCCGCCACCGCCGCCGCCACCTCCGCAGCCGCCGCAGCCGCTGCCCCCGCCGCAGCCGCCGCCGCCGCCAAGTGTATTTTGTGTTGGTTTTGGATAGGGGTGGCGGGGGGAGGCCGCATCGGGTTCGCTGCGCATGCTCTGAATTTTGAGACAGAATGTGTCTTTGGTAATTTTTTTTACAAGAAGTGGTGGTGGTGGGGGGCCCTCATGGACTCGGGTTGGCTCCCGGTCCCCTGGGGGAGGGGGTGTATATTGATAGGGAACAGTGATCAAGACGTGAACAGTGATCAAGACTCCCTCCCCGCCCGCAAGCCGTCTCGCTCACCCCACCCGCCCTCCCAACACATACGTAGCACCCGAGCCTGGCCCGAATCGCAGCATACGCAGCAGTCGTCTTTGGATGGGCAGCTACTGGGGGCGAAGTCCGCCGCCGCCGCCGCCGCCTCCGCCCCGCCGCCGCCGCCGCCGCGCGCGCCGCCGCGCCGCTGTCCGCTGCCGCCGCGCCACCGCGCCGTCCAGCCGCCGCCGCCGCCGCCGCCGTCGCCGCCGCCCCCGCTGCCGAATCGCCGCCGCCGCAGCCGCTGCCGCCGCAACCGTTGCCGCCAGCCGCCCGCCGCCGCCGCCGCCGCCACCGCCCGCACCCGCCGCCGCCACCGCCGCCGCCACCTCCGCAGCCGCCGCAGCCGCTGCCCCCGCCGCAGCCGCCGCCGCCGCCAAGTGTATTTTGTGTTTTTTTGGATAGGGTGGCGGGGGGAGGCCGCATCGGGTTCGCTGCGCATGCTCTGAATTTTGAGGCAGAGAGTGTCTTT